TGAACGAATCTACAGAGCAATGATAATGCCCATATTCACTTATTGCGGTCAAATTACGCTTGGTTGGTCAGAGACACGAAGGTGCCAAATAAGAAACCTGGAACAACGTAGTCACAGGATTATTCTGCAAAACTCAAAATGTCTAAACTGTGAACTCCGTCTACCCACAATTGAAAATTTTTTAAAGAAAAAGGCTTGTTTATTTGTTTTTGATTGCCTAAAAGGCAATGTTTGTAGTCCTTTCAAAGAATATTTTAAATTGTTAACCCACGATTTTAATACGAGGAACAGAGGGACCACCGTTGCTCTGCCGAAAGTGAGACTTGACTTTGCTCGGAAAAGTTTTTATTTTTTAGGAGCTTCAGTTTTTAATTTTTTACCTTTAAAAATCAAGCAAATTAGCAGTAGGGTACCATTTAGGGAGTCTTTAGATCAATTTTTTGCATAGGGCATTTAATTAGGTGCGTAGTCATCCTTATCTTATTCTAGTTTTTATCCTTATATTATATTATTTAGACAGGACCCCATTGATAACAGTGCTCCTGCACTGAAGGGCTATCCTGTATAAATATTCGTTATTATTATTATTATTATTATTATTATTATTATTATTATAAATAGATAGGTAGATAGATAGATAGGTAGGTAGGTAGGTAGGTAGATAGATAGATAGATAGATAGACAGGTAAACAGACAGACAGACAGATAGATAAACAGACAGACAGGGGGACAAACAGATAGACACAGATAGATATAAAGATAGATTGAGAGACAAGTAGACATATAAAAAGATGGATATTATTCGACTCTACCATACATATATCAGTATTGCTTATCTTCGTTAACGCAAAGTAACGAAGCTCTAACATGTAACCATAATTCTTGGGAGAAAACTTACACTACGTTTTTCAATTCCAGCACTACATCAAATAGATTTAATGATGACTGTTTCAAGGTCTGGACGAAAATGTGAACTAGCTATATAGATTGTAATTTTTTTTAACACGAACTTGTAAATTAGGCAGAAACATACGCCTAAAAAAAGTAAAATAGTTAACGACAAAACAGAACCATTTCCACACACTTCTACCTTTTAACATTTTACCAGCTACGAGAGCCTTCTTCGGTCTTCCTTGTAGTCCTACAGCTGTTGCCTTAGCAACCTGACCAAAAGCACCTTTTCCAACGATCTGCTTTATCGTCACATGTTCTCTAGAAATCTCCCAGGAGCGTGTGTATGGATTGAGAGAGGTGTACTCACTAATTTGTTCAGCCCTGTGTGGACTGTTATTCTGTATGGTATTTGCAATCGCTTGTGAACGGCTTCTGTCATCCAGTGCCATATAATGGCTTTGAGAAGGTTTGGGCAATTCGATTGCAATCTTAAAGACAAAATTGTTTTCAATTCAATAACAGATGATAGACTACCAACTCTGCATGGAAACTGTTGAGAAAACCCTAAGTAAAGACAGCAAAGCATTTTCCTAAAAACGTTGCTGTTTCTAAAAGAAGTTTAATACACATAAACGTATGAGAATTCATTATTTGACTTACATTCGTATTTCCTCTTCTTTCATTACTTGATTTTCTATTTGTACTGAAACAACAAAAATTATGAAAGTGTAGTGAGATTGTTCGGGTGAGTATAGTCCTGAGAAGGACTGCTGTCGGTGGAGGTAGCTGACGTTTCGACAATCTCTCCAGAAGTCTTCATCAGAGTCAAGTGAATAGTTGTTGTCCGTAGAATGTTCTCAGTCCAGTTAGTGTGAAATGATTGGTCAGTTTTTCCGTGATGCTATTGGCTGTATGATTTAAGCGACGTAAGTTGGTCGTGATTGGTCTGTTTCGACGAGTGAATGAATCGTTTGTATGATGCCGGTAGTAGTCAACACCTATTGAGGGGAGTCTGTTCTAAGTCAGTAAACCAGCTTTCCAGAGTCAGTCGTTTAAAGTAGTTAACGCTGTAGGTTAGGCATTGCACAGAGTCTCAGTCAATAGTGTGGTTCGTAAGTCGATGATGTTCAGCAATGTGGTTATTGACATCTCCTTTCCTCGTTGCCCGTTTGTGATCAGTCAGTCTTGTTGCGAGGTTTCTCCCAGTCTCTCCAATCTTGAAGGCTTGGCAGTCGGAGCAATTGTTCTTATAAATCGCTCCCTGCCTGTTCCTCGGTTCGTCCTTGTCTTTAACGTTGTTTAGTAACTGAAGGAGTGTAGTGATGGGTTTGTAGGCGACGCGGATATTGAAGGGTTGCATGATGCGCGAGATGTTCTCAGAGATGCCCTTTATGCACGGTATGGTCGCTGTGGTCGTAGGAGTTGCGGTGTCGTTTGTTTCGGTAGCAGTAGGTCGGTGAGTGTTTTGTCGGATAAAGTCGTCGTTGTAGTTGTCCTTCGAAAAAACACGGTCAGGATATTTGTTCTCGTCGGATAAGCTGTCTGTCGTGTGGCATATTAGTTGTGCACGTCGTGTTAGAGTACTGATAGTTGTGGCTTTGTGTGATGTTGGGTTGTAGGATGAATCGTCTAGTAATTTGTCGTAGTGTGTCGGCTTCCTGTGAACTGTCGTCCGTAGTGAGTTGTTGTCACGGCTACCAAGACAGTCTAGAAAAGGAAGTTTACCATCTTCTTCAACTTCTCTGTTAAACTGTTTGTCAATGTTTTGTCCGTTAATGCGGTGGTGGAATCCGTCGATTTCGATTTTACAACACAAAACTATTCCTTCTGCTCAAACGTTCAAAAATAAGAGAAAATTTCCTTACGCGTTGACGCTTGTGAGTGCTCTACACGATCTATCATCTTTATGAGTGAAACACAGAGTGTTAAAATTTTCAAACGATCGAGCTATATAGGAAGAACGTAGGTGAACAGCAACGACGCATATAACAATCTCACCTTCCTCTAATCGCCACCCCTGTGGAAAAATAAAAAAACAAAACCAAAACAAACATGAAAAACAAACCAGAACAAAGAAAACAAAGGAAATATAGACATACAGAGCAGCAACATAGAAAATAAGCAAAATAAACACGTTTTTTGATAGATATTCGACAACAGTTAGAATTTATCTTTCAAAGGTTAAGTGGTGTTCGTTTGATGCACATGAATTTGAGTGTGTATAAAATCAAGCTCAATCTTAGCCAATAGCATACTAAGAAGAAACAAAACAAATTACCAGTTTTTAAGGCACTATTTCAACAGTTGTCATTCGAAGTCAAAATAAGATTATGGGGCATTAGTTCGTGGACTGAAGCTTGAACTAGATCGTCAAAACTGAGGAAAACAAGAGATATTTCTAGGATCCCCTACCTACCTACCTACCTACATATTTTATTTAACAATGCAGGTTAAAAATATGGCAGCGAAAGCTGATGTGGACCTGCTATGCATAAATAAATATTGACGAAATGTATTAATTAGATAATTGAAATTCACATTAATTTAAACAAAGAAACCTACAAATTTCACTAACAAAAAAATAGCATGTAAAAATATATAAAATCATCAGAGTTCTTAAATGTAATGGTAGAACTACAACCAAAAGATATTTTATCAATAGATTTAGAGCGCTTTACAAGATTTGCTTTAAACGATGCAAAGGAAAGAAGAGACTTGCTCTTTACAGGTAGACTGTTCCAAATCATACTGGCTCGATGAGTGAAGGAATCATTGTTTCCTTTCCAGTAGGCATGGGTTAAATCGAATTTAAGGTTATCTCTTAAATTGTAATTTGCCGCGTGCTTAGTATAGAGATTTGTGATACTTGGTTGTGCTAGCGTTCATTTGAAAGCACAACATGCATGCAACATTTACCTTCAGTGCCCTTCCTGTTTAGTAGTCTTTTCCTGCAGGCCCACCACACTAATATTCCAGCAGCAGCTAGTGCAGCAACGGACCCAAATACTGCACCAAAAATGATCCATATGGTAACTACAAAGCGTGAAAAACTCGAGATAAATCGTTGTCAATAAAAAGCAAGTATCGCGTTTCATTTTTTGGAAAAGAGCGACTGTTGTAGGTGAGGCTGAAGCTCAGTGAAATTTTAGCTAAGTATTTCCCAAAGCCTGAGAGATACACAAGTATCACCAGCAAGATACGTGCACAAGCAAAATTATTTTCTTGAACCGATAAATTAAAGCTTTTTTCCATTGGACAGTAAATAATTGCTTTTATTTTTGGGACACGACAGAGTCGCGTATATAAAGAGCGCTAAGTCAGATGACATCATCCATAAATCAACATTATAGAATAAAGTGTGGTTAGATAATGATCTACCTGCTTTTGTCTCGTTTTGCAGCTCTGATGATTCTGCCAAAAAATTAAACTAACATGTTTAAGAAGAAAGAGGCATAACATCTATTTAAGGTGATTCCTCAGAAACAAATTGTTGCTCAAATTTTGAAAAATTTTCTCGCAAGTTTCCCTCCAGTCTCTGCTTCCAGAAGTACGATAAAAACAGCTCACCGTGTAGTGATATGATGCGCAAATATTACCCAATTTCAACCTGTACTGGTACTAGTCATGCACATCATTTCATCGCTTTATGGTACATTTTGCGGTATCTGAACGTAAGGGATGTTCAAGTAAAACTTAAAAAAAAATAATCGATAAGAAGAAAGTCTCGAGCCCGCGAAAGAATTTACCATAGAATTTATAATGGCTATTGAACTGAGTGGAGTCATGTGTGAATTCAAAATGATTTGGAATCACAAGTATGATTTCATACCAAACTTGCACGACACGAAGATCAATTACCGCTAAGTTGAATCCATTTTAAAGTCACGAAATTCAGCCATTCAGATACAAGAATATTTTGTCTGTACAAATATTTTATTGACCTTATATTGAACTGGTTACTGATACATTGCAAAAGTTGTTTTCTTATTTTCCAAGAATTTGACAGGTTTCTTTAAACAAGCCTTGAAATCTGATTATGCCACTTTCTTTTTAAGAAAAAGGTGTTATTTGCGAATAAATCACATGAATGAGAAACAATCAGATTACAAGGATCACTAATTTGAAATAGATGTAAGAAATGGAAAAATGACGCCATTTAAAACGACATTGACTCAAAACGTTTCTCGACGGTGTGCATGTGCTTATACGCCTTATCAAGTGATTTTCATGTGCTGTACAGGATGCGTAGTGCAATATTGAGGAATCACCTTAAAGTTTATACCTAAGTCAATACTTATTTTTACCAATAAGGACCGTTGTAGCCTGCGCCAACATTTTCCTCGCGCAAGGATATCTCCCATCGGCCAAAAAAATCTTAACCAGTATGTTAAATATATTCTGAAGGTAATGAACAAAAGTGAACTGTGCAAATAATAAGCACGTGGTATAGGGAACCAATCAGATTGTGTAAATAATAAGAACGTGGTATAGGGAACCAATCTGGTTGTGTAAATCATATCAGTAACGCTGAAAATGCAATTTGAATTGATTTCGTAACCACACTAAAATTTTGATAACGAATGAATGACCCTTCTCACTAAAGCTCTTAAATCTAAATGTATTTCATGCCGAGATGGTCCACATGGTCCTGAGATTCAGAAAGAACACGTCTGTAAAATTATCGGTTCATCAAAAACGGCACAATCATTAAAAGCAGATTGAACCAAAACTAAATAAAAAACATAAACAATTAAGCATGCTAACGAAAACAAAGCAAACAGCATTGTCAAAAATTAGTATATTTGTCCAGTAAATTTACCGTCAAGGGAACTGCTGGGTGTTGTTGGTCCCACTGCATTTTCATTAAAACGTCTGACACTGAAGTCTTCAAGGCGTCCAACTACCGCTGCATTACGGAGTATTGTAATCACAGTTTGTTCCTTTGTCGGGATGTTGAACTTCAGCGCCAGGTCAACAATAACACTTCCACACCTTGATGCAAACCACAAACGAGGGTTAGGGGTAAATGAACAAAAAGCTACTTGAAAAAAGAAAGCACAGTTTGATCCAAACAGTTTACAAACCTGACATCTATCAACTGTACACTTTCGTAGCTGGGTGTCCCGGTGAAAACCTTGTTCATCTGAGGATTAACAATAGCATTCAATCAAAGCAGGACTGATCTTAACTCATAATCTTTAATGGAGCCAAATATATTTTCCAATGGCATCTCGTTTTCGTGTTTGGCCTCTCACTCAACCCAGGACGGCCGCCAATTTTGAATATGATGTATTGAATTAAATCAATCAGCCAATCGGTATGTATTTCACATAAGATTGTAACCAATCGTCGAGCCACCGACCAATTTACAAAACAACCCCGCATTATGGTTTCTGGTGAGTCAGTAACCACGAAAACTAAATGATGTGCCGCTTTCTCAACTAGCTTAACATGAACGACATAATGAGATCAAGGTGTTGATGCTATAATGCAAAATCATCCTTGTCGGAATTTCACTCTTAACTAAATGATAGATCTGCTTCCAATCACAAAAATGTAAGTGAAATGATCATATCCAGTGACTGGAAACATTAATGTTCTTCGTTTTTACTGTAGTTGATATTGGTCGCATTTAATTCTGATGTTAAAGGTCACCTTCATTTAGGAAATTTAAAGGGATTACCATTTCACTAAGTCTCTTCAGTAACGAGGCCAAGTCATATCCTCCATTCGCACAACTTTCACTTTCACTAAATAGGGTCACATTAATCAAACTTCCTCCAATAACTGTGGCAAGATAATGAACAATAAATGTCATGTAAGAATAAAAAAAAAAGTCCACAAACGTGAAAATGCGAGAAAGAGCATAACTGTACATCTAAAAAAATAGATCTTACAAAAGGGGAGACATCACCTAGTCTTACCACAAGTATCTTTTTTTTAAAATAATCACAGTGGAATGCTTTATTTTGTGTTCTTCGATGTAAGTCACTGACTGATTTTGAGTGCAGTCTGTTACTTTTAACTGGTGTGCTGACGTTCAAAAACATTTAACACTGAGGCAACCGTCCCAGTGTTTTTGATACCAATGTCTCACATGTGCATGACCTAACTTAAGAATTAAATACTTCTCGTATCTTTCTGTTGAAATACCAGCAGTGCAAATGTAATCCCAATGATAGTTAAGAATGACAACCTATCAAGTAATATCAAGATTAGAGTCAACTAGTTGTATGCCTTTGGAATATTTTCAACTCTTTATATATCACCATTTTCACACCGTGGAGGTTTCCTTCTAATTTACAAGGGTGAACTAATTAAAAACGTAACTTACAAACTCTGTAACTTTTTGAATCATTGGAATACTCATTTGCTGCTTCGCAGGTATAGTTGGCATCTTTGCTGACTTGTGGAATAACAAATGTGTTCTTGTTACAAACTTGATCTTGACCGCATGGAGTCCAAGTATAGGAAGGCAGGGGATTTCCTTTTGCTTTACAGTTAAGGGTGACGCTTTCTCCTACTACGACAATGTACTCATCATGAGTAGCAGAAATACTGACATGAGCTGTAAATCAAGATGATAAGGATGCAATAGAATCAACACATCACCACGTAGAAAAAGTACAGTGCATTAAAAGTTCTGTTAGGCGGTCATCCACGGGGAAAGGCGGAGTGACCGCTTCATACGGGTTGACCGTTTAGTGGCGGATCGAAACCTTGATCTAAGGGGGTTTCTATGTGTTTGACCTGCCGGCTTTCCTTCCCTCTGCGATGTTTCTTTTTTTACCCAAAATAAGGTCCTCGTGCTCCCCCTCTTGAACCGTGACTGCCGCTCAATACAGTTTTCTCAGAATAGGGGTATTATAAAAAAAACGATACACAGCGTCACTTTCTAACATAATCGACCACTTCATGTACTGTATCTCGGTGAAAAATACTACTCACTTTGATCTTGGTTGGGGAAAAAGGATTAAAATTACTTGAAAGATTATTCTTAGCTTTACTGATTGGTTCTGCTTTAACTGAGTGCTAAATACAGGTAGAAAAGGATACAAGCATGCCGTTGGGACTTAGTTTAGGGTGACCGCGAACCCCTATAGTCACTGTTATTGATTTAAGGGGAAACAACTTCGGATTTTGGCAACCGACCTTTTGATACAAGACTGATTTCAGCGAACACACGACGCTTACAAAAAACTTCCAAATAAACTTTAGCGCTTCTCCTTTTGGATTAGGACAATACCAATACAGGCAAATTAAATCATTTCAATTGTATGATATTTGTACTGGCTGTTAGAGCGAAAAAATTTGCTATTCTTCCGCGGAAAATTATGAATTGATAACATACGCGGCACTGAGCCGGTAAGTTTTACGTTTTACGAAGATGAACGATCCGCTTTAAGAACGATCCGTGAAATTTTCGCTTTTCTCCCTTGCGTAAAGATAACAATCTTTGATCCAACGAAAATTCCGACGTGCGTGTTTGGATAAGAAATCTGGAAATTTCACATCTCGGAAATTTTTAACTTCGAATTTTTCTTGGGTGTAACAATTTAGTTTGAAAATTAAGTTTTGCCATGATTCATTTTCATTTCAAAATATACTTCTTTCTTATCTAGAAAAATTATCGCTATTTGGGACGATAATACACAGTTGCAAGTTAATGAAAATCGGAATAACAAATCGCGACGTGGCGTGACGGTGCTTTCGATTGGGGCTTTCAGCCATCTCATTTCTCGTAATTCACTTAGCGGCAGCCATCGGGGGGTAACTCCGGGGATATGCGCAGGCATGACGCGGGATTTGTCAGCTTTGTTCGTGAATTTTATGCCCAGATTGGCGGATTGGATTGCTTTTGCCCTTTCGTAGCAGGATCTAATGGGGAGGACCCGCGGAATTTGTAGCTCCACCACCATTTTTGAAAAGTCAATGGCCATTGTATGTGCATTTGAGAAAAGAGATCTCGTCCATTGATTAATGCCATGTACCTGATTAAAACCCAAGTATTTCTGTAATATTTTTAAAAAGGTGGCTCTCTGCTGTTTCAAAATATGCATGGATAATTTTTCTCTTTTGTGGATCGCATGTCGGTCAAACTTTAAATTCTGTGTTATAAACAAACACAGGAGCAGCAGAACAAAGCTTTCATTATTGTCTTTCCAATTGTGTTGCTTGCAAAAAAATACATGTATTAATTGCCAAACTGTACTTGTTTCTGATTGTTTCTGCAAATTATACTACGCATTTCAAATAATATTCATGGAGTCCTAGTTCTTCTTTACCAGGAAACAAGAATATTCTCTCCTTTCCCATTCCATCACTTACATGGTAAGCTGAACTTCACTATGTGAAGAAAAGAAGTGGAACAGCTTTCTTTGCTTATTTTTAATTAACTCATATGTATAATAATATTACACCAAATAGAAAATTAATTATGCCAAATAAGATTCTTATGAAATATCGCACCGTTTGGCTTTACACTTCTTTGCCCTCAGGGGAAGGATGTTAGTAGCTTTTTGTTAAATAATCTTGGTTTTAGATAGAGGGGATTTGTGAACGCCGTTGTGCAAATGCCCGGGGGTTCCCTGGGGTCACCACCCCGGAATGGCTGCTGATAATTGCATAAATGACTTGACCAAAGTTTAGTTCCAGACTAACGAGATTCAGGAGCTTAGTTAAGATGTAACTGAACAAAGTTCCCACGAAAGTTCTACTTGATTCATCAGTTCTCTTTCATCTCGTATGAGTTTATTTCTAATCTTCTTGTCGACAAGAAAATCAATCATGAAAATGAAATAGACAAAGGAATCGAGGACAAACTCGTGGTCTTTTGCACCAGCCCTAGCGAACTGAATTCCCAGTTTTGTAGGAATTCCTAGGAATTCTCAAAAATTCCTAACTAAGCAAGTAGGCTCTGATTTGAAAATGCTTGGAATTACTGGGAATTTCTGGGAAAGGAAGGTTCCAGTTTCGCGAGCACTAGGAATTCCTAGGAATTCTCCGCTATTCAAACTACCTATAAGATAACAAGGGTGGAATTCTTGGGAATTTCTGGGAATTGAATTTGAGGCAATTTGAACATTACCCTGAGGTCCAAATAATTCCAAGAAATTCTCAATACCTTGAATTTGAAGGTTTTAATTAATGCAAGGAGCAGCTTTAGACGCATAAAACTTTGATTCAATAAAAGGTATACTATACAAAATGTAGCAAGTGTTATGCGTACATGTGTAGTTCTATCATGAAATTTATTATTCAAACTAAGTTTGAGTAAATCTTAACATTAATGTGGATTTTTTCATAAAGCAGCAGTCAATTATGTTAATGCAATTGTCAATCATAGATTTGCTTTCTAACCTCAAAGGCCTCTTGGATTCCATAATCGTAAAAGTTTTTATGCCCTTATCAACGGCCATCCTGGNCCCTTGGCTGCTTTATCAAATAAATGTATGTATGCATGGATGTATGTATGTATGTATGTATGCATGTATGTATGCATGTATGTATGCATGTATGTATGCATGTATGTATGCATGTATGTATGCATGTATGTATGCATGTATGTATACATGTATGTATGTATGTATGTATGTATGTATGTATGTATGCATGTATGTATGCATGTATGTATGCATGTATGTATGCATGTATGTATGCATGTATGTATACATGTATGTATGTATGTATGTATGTATGTATGTATGTATGTGGTATCCATCTGTTATAATAATGAGGGTAAAACACATTTGTAATCACATTCAAAGTTATGACTGGGTTGTGTCATCTCTCACCTTTGCCGTGAAAACAACTCAAATCAGGGTTTCGAGTATTTGTTTCCTAGACAGGTTTCGGCCACAAATCGTGCATTTGTAGTACGTTCGATTATTTCTACATAGAATGAGTTTACATCAATTTTTCGTCAAAACATGGATCCAAACGGCGCTTTCCATTCGACCAAAAATTCCGGAAATTCTGGGTGGGGGAGTGAATGGAACAAACAGTTCCCGGAATTTCATTCCGGAATTTCGGGTGTACCTTGCGAGGTTAGCCTAAAATTCCGGAAAACTGTTCCATTCGTCACATGAAATACCCGGAATTTCAAACCGGAATTTTTGGTCGAATGAAAAGCGCCCAAAGTTAATCCATCGTCTAAAAGCAGAGAACCGCGGCCAGAGCAGTCAGCATAATCTTGCGCGCTTCACTTGAGACTGCAATGGAGCAAGCCAGCGGATTATCTTCACTAGCCAATGATAATTTCTAAAATATCCACGTGATCATACCCGTGATCGGCAACAAAACTCCATTTGGCGCTCATCTTTGAGTGTTCTTTTGGTCGGTTGGTCTCTCGTGCGACTGTTTTGCCTAATATAATATCTCTACAAATGGGTTTTACTGTTTTTCAATGGGAAAACGAGAACAGCGTGATTGTTGTGAATGAGTTGGCGCCCTAGAGTTCAAAAAAGGGATAACAGTTGACATATCGACGGGCAGGTACACGCGTCGAGCGGCCATTTAGAAAGCTACGATTTTGAAAGTTTGTGGTGAGTATAAATTACGACGTTCAGTACGTGATCAAAAGTGAGAATCGAATCGGTCACTTGCATGCCGCGGTTTCTCAAACGTACGCTTTACAATGAAATAAATCTATCAGTAATTTGGTAATATCAACTAACTTGAAATTGTAAATTGTGACCCTCCACGGGATTTCAGGGAATAAGGTGAACGCACGGACACGGCACGCTCGCACGCTAAAACAAAAGAACTAGCTTTGAACACGTTAGCTGTGTGTTAGTTACCTGCCTCATTAACATCGCAGCCATTGTTTTCCTTCGCACGGTAGAGGCAAAGGTACGTGTTAAGATCTTCTCTGCATTTTTGCACGGTATAACACGGTGACCGTGTTAAATTTTTAGCACGCTCTTTGAAGTTGAAGTTTCTTTCGATTCGTACAAGCAGGACTTCGAAAGCTGTAAGGCTTTCTATTAGCTCACCAATACGATTCCAGTTGTCAATATCCAGTGCAACATCGCTCAATGAATCGCCGAACAGAATGGTGTCTCGACTTGTTGTCCGTTCATTTAATCCAGCTTTTGGATTCTTCCTTTATTTTCGAATTTCTCGTTTTCTTAAAGCAGCTTGCAAAACACGGGCCGAACGAGCAATGTGCTCTGCTCTTGAAGTCGTAAACTTGTGAAGGTAGCTAGCCAAGCACAAATGCATATATAACTGACAAACGTAAGCTTTAGTATTAGCGCGAACTTGTATGATGCAAAGCAAATGACTTTACCTCCGTTGATAAGTGAGGGATTTTCCAGCTAGATACTGTTCAGCCGAACGGACTATCAATTTCAGCTTTATTTTAGCGAATTATATAATTATATGCGTGCGCTACTGTAAACACGTGCACACGCTTCCATTTGACGTCTTGTCGGAGTATTCTAACAGTTGTCTCGCAGCATGAAGAGAGGTTATACACCCGAAACGTCTGAAATTACAACCATTTATGAGACCTTGATATTTATTTCACAATAATTATCATTCTGCTTGTAAACTGTGTTCTCAAAA